GTAGTAGTAGTAGTGATAGTAGTATTGTGTTATGAGCATTGTATTGTTATTAGTGTTAGAGTATTATGAGTATGTATTAGTATTGTAGTACTAGTATTATCGTATTAGTACCAAGGTATTTATAATATTACAAGCCAAATAATCTTAGACCCGGAAGGAAGAACTGGTCGGTATTAGTTGATCAACTACAAGGAGCTTCCTATTCGCCTCGTGTAGCTTCCGACTGTGCATATGTGGTCGCCACTGACAGGCGATGGAGCTATGCTGTTATGCGGTTTCTGGTGTCTGTGGACGAAATATGGGCCCAAGACCTGCGATCATGAATGTGAGATGGGCTTCAGATCTTCTGCTGCCCAGGTGCTCAGCGACGCGGGGTGGTATCACGCTCAGCTCTCCTGCACGGCTCCAGCTGTTTCTGCTTGCTTGGGGAGATGTTTAGACACAGAAACCGATGCTTGGAATCTGAAACCGATGTTTACCCATCCTAGGCTGATGACTCCGTCCGAATGGAAGGACAACGCTTCTCCGCAGGTGATTCGCACAGCTACAAAGCCGGCAGCATAACCTCAGCTCCACTCTCCGGCAACCCCAGGTAGACATTTGCTGAATCCATCCCCCATCTCCCACCCTGAACCCTAACCGTCACATGAAGCTGCACGCGGTCCAGACTTCTCTCCGGCTCTATCACGGACCAGAGCGGCACGGGCCTGCGCCGCGAATGTAGGAACAAGAGGCTTTGGACTTTGGACTTCCACACAGTAAGGTTTAGGGTTTAGGGTTGAACCATTGTGAATCATACCTCACAACAGCAGCTTGCAAGGGATTCCCAAGCGTCTTGTCTGAAGATGTCGCAAGTCCTGAAACCTCCACTCTGCTAGTTTCGCTCCGCCTGACAACCCGCGCAATTCTAGGACTTGTCAAAAGCTTGAAATCCGACAGACTATGTATGGCAGCCTGCTGGCTGGACACAGACAGCAGGTGATCCGGCATAGGGATGACCGAGACCTGCATGCAAAGGCAACGAACTGGGTCCGGGCTGATTGCGATGGACAGCTGCGGCCAAGTGTCTGCTGAAACAAGCCCAAAGGCAACAGTACAGCTGGGCATCGCGCATGACACGGTGCATCGCCGATAACCTGCCCAGGTATGTAGCGTTGCAGCAAGCAAGACTGTTACCTGTCCATTTTGAAGACGCGCGACCGACCGACAGGGTTCCGATGCCTATCGGCCTTGATCCGTAGCAACTCCATCACTATGTGTGACTTGCTGTCTGACGCACCATGAAGCAAGGGAACCTGCATGCCAGCTGCGAGACGTTCGTGCGACCAGTCCTGGCTTTGGCAGGATCAAGAGTCGTTCTTGCTGACTAGATCTTGCTGACTAGAGGCGATTCTCGGATTCTCGTTCCCGCTCACCACACTGATTTGTCCACAGACAAGGCAATATGATCTCCAAACACCGCCAAAGATACACGAAATGCAGATTGTCTGCGGCTTGAAACCGAACTTGCTGCTGGACTCGCCCCTTTTTTGGCTTCCCACTCTGCCCCTGACCTCTGACCCATTCAAAACATCGTCTGCCCAAAACCTAAACCCTAAACCCTAAACCCTAAACCCTAAACCCTAAACCCTAAACCCTAAACCGTCAGAGCCTCTCGAGTGAAGAGCAGGAGCTCATCACAGGTCTCTCCAGGCTGAAGGCAGGCCCGGGCCTAAGGGCTTCAGGGCTTTTTTTCCCCCTCCTACTTAGCAAGGACAAGTGGGCTTCATGGCTTTTGGGGTTTAGGCTTTGGGACTTCTTTTTTTTTGCTCTTTATGCTCTTTTACCGTTTTTGTTCTTCCCTCTCGCTTTTCCCGTTTAGGGTTGAGGGATTCCGCGATGCTCCACGCAGATATACGGGGTTTTGGGTATACAGGGAAGAGGCCATCAGATCTCGATAGAGTGGGGAAGATGCCATCAGGCCCGTTTGTTCTTTCCGGATGCTATCAGGTGCGGCCGAGAACGCTGCCTAAAACAGCCGCAAAGCTACCGTGACCATACTGACTCTACTTGGAGGACCATGGGACTTAGTAAGTAAGGTTACAAGTACCCTAATTGGGGTTATAAGTATAGTTACCTTATTTATAACCCTAGTTACTAAGTCCCATGATCCTGCAAGTAGCGCTTGGCAGAACCTAAAACCCTAAACCCTAAACCCTTTTTTCACAAGGGACTCTGCTGCTGCCCTTACTGCCCAGCTTGACCCACAAGACAGTACCCTAAACCCTAAAACCCTAAACCCTTTTGCATTCAGGCCTATTGCAACTGCCGGGTATCCCTGAAAGGAGAGAAAATTCAGGGCCAGGCAAATCTGCAGCACTACTGGCTGCAGCACTCTACCCTTTTGCATCAAGGACTCTTGCAAGCAGCCGGGAAACTCCCTAAACCCTAAAACCCTAAACCCTAAACCCCAAACCCTGGCAGAAGGACGCATTGCTAAGTGGAAGCTCAGACCTGGGCTTTACTGGCCCAGTGCTTCATGCCCTCAAAAACGTCTGCGCCTGCAGCGGAGGGCCACTCGGCCATTCCTAAGCTGTATACACGTAGGGGCCTCAAAATAAGAATAGGGTTTGGGAGTTTTGGGGGCCCATTAGACTATACTTAGAATAAGGAACCCCCGCAATAGTATTGGTAATTATTTAGGCCCCTGTAGTACTTACAGCTGCTCTGAACCTGCCAGGCGCTTCCGCTCCGGCCTAGAGCCCAAGTGAGTTTGCCACGGCCGGGGCCGCCCAGCAGCTCCCTCAGCCTGCAGCTTCCAAAATGCTTAGGACCTAGGGGTTTGCACTCTCACAACTCGGACAAGCCAGGCGAGGACCCATGTGCGCGCAGTCGGTGTGAAAAGAAGGAAACTCACGATGCCTAGGGGTTTAGGGTTTAGGGTTTAGGGACCTAGGGACCTTAGGGTGGAGCGAGTGACGAATGCCATGCTGCAAGAGCCGTCGGTGATACTAATGCTGCCTGTAGCTCGCAAGGCAATGCCGCAGAAGGATCAGTCCAGATATGGAAGGAAAAGCTGGCAATGTCTTCAGAAGGCGAAGACAATCTGGGGCCGGCACACTCGAAAGAGTTCTACCTGAGCTTTGTGCAGCACAGGCCTATCAAGTCTCGCCCTGTGCGAAATACACGAATAATAATGATACTACTAAGAATAATAATAGCAATAGTCAGAAAACAATAATTATTGCGCAAGAATTAGAAGAAGAAGAAAGAGAATCAAGGAAAAGATGCCAGCCTGCAGATGGAAATGAGCCCCGGGCCGAAGTCCCGAGCTTGGGGCCCAGGTCTCGTCTGAGGCAGCCAACGCCTGCATGTCTCGATGCTTGGGTTTTCTTGCCGCAGGAATAAGAGTATGGGGTTTAGGGTTTCCAGCACTCACAGCTAGACAAGCAGGCGAGGATCCGAGCACCAGAACGACAAGCACATTGGCTAATCTTTTTTGAAGCGTTGCAGAGCGTCGCCACCGTCTTTACAACTGCTTGGGGGCTTGTACAAACCAACAAAGCCGGAAGCTTTTGGTGGCGGGGCCTGGCGGGGTTTTGGCAGGGCCGGCCCCAAAATCTCTCAGCCGATTTGTACCATCCGACAATATCGAGCCGATCGAAATGCCGTGACCTGTTGGCACTGGCGGGGACCGTTTGAACTAGACTGGACGCATGAATGAAACTGCCCAGGAATTGTTGTCGTGCATGCAAAGGGCCAAAGACGTGCTGCTAGTCGCAGCCTAGACAACTACAGCCTTTTGCACACAAGTTCCGTTTGGCGGACTCCGTCCTAGCCGGCGTCGAATTCTGACCATTACAGGCCAGGACACGAGCTGTACTGGGGGGCTGTCGGTCGGGGTGTTTTGCTGCGAGTTCTCACTACATGATCGTGAGTTACACAACGTGATACCCTCCCGTTATGCGAATCAATCGACTGGAATCGACTAGAACCCTACATATTTCATATCCTCAGAGGGGAGCGCTCGAACTCACAGCAAATTAGATAAATAAAGGGGGCCGCAAGCGAATCACTCGAGAGCAGCCGATCGCAAGCACATTCCAGCACTTGCCAATGCCTCCGAGCGGGTCAGGCCCGCACAGAGCCGGTGAAGCTCCGGTACAGACTTGACCACAAGACGGCCGTAGCGTGCTGCCCAAAGCGCCGCCAGACGTGGCCGAAGCGCCGCGCACGCTGCCTTAAAGTCCTCTCCAACGAGCACCTGCAGCACCCTCTGCACGGCTTCGTGGCCATACCTCGTGATCGCCACATCGGCAAGGCGCCGACCCACAGAGGCTCGAGCCAGGCTCACCTGGTCTTCTGGCGAAGAATGGACGAGTGCCTTCGCAATGACGGGAGAGGCCGCCTGGTGGGAAAGAAGCTCCTGGATGCTGGCCTTGAATGATTGACAGAGGATGTGCTGCTGCGCACGGGAGCCGTATCGCAGGAGTTGCTGCATGACAAAGTTTCCGTAGGCATGACGTGCCAGAGGAAGTGCATCGGACATCAAGATGCTTGCCACTGCCTCCATCTGCTCCTGTTGACAGTGTTCAAGTAAACGCTGAATCACTCGGCATCCATACTGATGGCGGGCAACCTCCAGGACTGTTGCTGCGCCGGCCTGCAAGAGCTCATCGATGAGTGGCTGGCAGTCATGCGGTCTCAGCGTGGCCACCAGACGTTGCAAGACATGGTTGGCATTGGGCGACAGGGCTGCGGCCACGACATGTCCGGAGAGCTCCTGCGCAATCTGCTTCCTCAGCTCGTTACGAGCCTGATCGACGGCTTCCTGAACCTTCCTGCAACCCTTCTGCCTCTGCGACAGCTGCCAGACCTTGCCCAGTACAGGCGATTCCGAGAAGTCGGAAGTGGTGCTTGAAGAATCGTCTGATGCGTGCTCACTGAATGCCGCGGCTGCAGCCACTTCGTCCGAAGGGCCACATCCGACCGGTGAGAGCTCACGAGGGAGGATGTGGCTCTCGATCTGCTGAACAGGCAAGCCAACCATCACCACCGGAATCGCACACACCGAAGAG